TACAGGTTTCAGGACGGCCTTCGGGGACGGGTGCTAATACAGAACCGCGCCCGAACGACTGGACCTGTGATGGATGTGGTAATACAAATTTTGGTTTTCGGCAAGAATGTAATCGATGTCATGCTCCAAGACCCGGTGGTGGTGGTGGTGGCGGTGCCATTGGTCCAATGAGAGGTGGTGGTGGACGTGGACGTGGCGGCGATCGTCCAGGACCATACTGATCCATAATTTAGCAAGCATCACAGTATTTTATCCAGATATTATCTTTTTGTTTCTTTTTAAGTACAACTGAAGACAGGACATGGAATTTTTGAAATTTACCGCAGTGAAGATTTTGATGTTTGTTCATGGGTATGCTGAATTTTTTCCCTACTTTTCGGTGAAATTAGAAAGTCGATGTTTTTGGCCAGAAAAAACCAGTAACGGAGCGTTATTTTCATTACTTTAGAAGGAGATATGGTTATTTTCATCAAGCTGGAAAAAGATTTGTTTTATTTTATGCCCTTTTTTTGTTTTTTAATTGTTCCTGATAAGTTTAAGCAAACCGAAATTGTTGTTATTATGGGCACAGTAAAATTTCCCACGTTTTTATTATATTTTGATTATAGATTTTGTCTCCTTCCGTGCTGTTTTTTTCCCCCTTTTTTATCGTTCTTTGTGTTGTTTCAATGATAGTAAGGTTTTGATGTTTCCTTTTTTTTGTAATTTTTTATAATAAAATTTGAGCATTCCATTACGGGCTTATGCACTGAAACTACAGTTGGATTGGGCGATCAAATAAACTACAGTTTTGGGCACTTGGAAGTAAAGACTGGAAATAAGGGCAGGAGTTAGATTACTGGTTATATATGGGTTAATGATGATAATAAATGAAGTGTTGTGGAAACTGGAAGCAGCAGGCTTTTTCAAAATCGGGGTGGAACAAAAAATCGGGTACTTTACTGTTCGCAACTCTTCTGCAAACTCAAAAGCGAGTGCATTTTGCAAGGCCGACCCGAATTTTAGTAGCAGGAAAATTCCACACTGATTCGTACGCCCTTTTTGGGTACAAAACAAGGAAAAAAGGGGTGCGTTTCGATTTTTCTGATTAGGGGTGGCGTTCTGATTCTTCCCAGAACCAGCTTCATTACGGGAACAGTTCGCCTCATGGGAGTAGTAGAGTAAGAAGATAGGAATTAGGTGTTATGTATAAGAAGACATTTCACGATGCAGTCTCTGTTTCATCCCTTAGCTGTAAACACAGGCCGGACTATGCATGCGGGTAAGAGTGGGGATTGTCGGTACATCCTCCTACCTGCCATTGAAAGGACTTGTAACTAATTTGCAAGAAGGATAGTGAAATAGAAAGTGTCGTCACGATGTTCATGTGCGAAGGAAGTCTGTTAGGATGAGTCGAACGTGCGAGAAAATGACGGTATTAGAGCCTAAACTTTTGTGTTTGATTCAGACGGTGTCCGGACAAATCATGAGTAAATTTTCTTCATTATAGAAGAGTAACAGAGAAAAAGCAATGAAGGGGCTTCATTGAACAGATGACAACAAGTAGTAAGTACCGCATAAATTGGAAGATTACACTTATAACACATAGAAATCATTCTACGAAAGAAATTAACGTAAAACCATAGCTGATACGCAAAACGATTGCATC